TTTTTTATATTTACATTAAAAAAAACATACGTATCACATTAGTTCTCGTGCAAACGCATAAATATTTCATTTGTTAGCTGAATTTTCAAAATGGATCTTAAACGTTGGAGATGGTAAGATATGTGAACCAAATGATGGATTGGTTGAGATAGAGATGAAGAGTGAGAAAACACTTAGAAAAGGGGGGGGGGGGGGGGGGGTTGAATAAGTTTTTCCTTTTTCTTTTTCTTACTAGCTCAACAATAATGGAAAGACACAATTATTTTGATCCTGGTTCGTTTGAACTCAAACTACTCCAGTCCACCCGCCAAGGTGATTTCGCCTTTCTCAATAAGGACTTAATTCACTATAATCAAACAGATTACAATCACACAACCAAACTGTTGTGACTAACAATTCAAAGCACAAGTAAACTTACAAGTGACTAACACCACTAAGACTCAAACTAGTCCTAGCCTTCTTGAGAAATCTGACCAAGCTTGGTCTCTCAAGGAACAAATACAAGAATTAAATCTTTACAATAGTGAAACAAATTGTTTCTAAGAAAGCTATATCACAAACTATGATTTATCACTAAGATAAATTTTGCACAAAGTGTTTGTAAGAAAATAATTTGTGAGCAGCTGAATATTTTTTCACGTAGTTAGGTAGTTGGCTTGTAATAAACGATCTTCTATTTATAGCATGAAGAAAATGACTGTTACTGCCTTCAAAAGTGAGAAGAAATTAATGTTTATGTGTTGGCTTGCAGTATTGATTTTTCCAATGAACTAGCATAGAGACACTTGAGTGCTTTTAGCCGTCTTTGCATTAAATGAACTAACGGCACTGTCAGAGCATGTTTCCTAAAACTTGACAAGACTTGTTTGCTTCTTTATTCTTTTAGAACTTGCTTCACATCTTGTTTCAGAATATGCTTGCAAATAACTTCTCATCAGAGCTTGCTTGCAAAATACTTCTGAGCAGAGTTTGCATGGAAACTTGCTAAGCTTAGAGGATGCATTAAAATGTTTCTTATCAGAGTCAGCATCAGAACTTGCGCTAAAATAACTAGTTCTTTCATCAAAGAACTTCTTCATTTTTATTTAGCTCAGCACGTAAAATGATTTTCCCTTAGAAAATACTTCTTTAGTGGGAACATGATTTGAAACAAAGAAATATGTTCATCAGAGTATCAATTATATAAAATATATTTTATTGTTATCATCAAAACTCTGAGATATGATCAGAACCAATCTTGTTCTAACAAGAGATTCCTCAAGAATTATTGATATTCAATTTTGAGGATCCTATAAAAGCTATTGTTGATAGCACATATCCCAATTTGCGTGACAATTTTCAGGATGTTGGTTACCTACAAGAAAAAGATATTCTTACATCAACCATTGAAGTTGTGGACAAAATCAACCACTATGTACTTGGCATGATACCAGGTAATATAATTTTAACTTTAATCTATATATATGCACACAACTTCCAACAACAAATTTTTATCATGTTGATTCTATTAATGTATTAATATTTACACTTCATGGCATTTTTAGGAGAAGAGAAAGAGTATCTAAGTTTTGATTCAGTTGATAGAATCGATACAACATATACTGAAGCATATAAAGTTCTAACCCCATAATTTCTAAGTAAACTAAGAACATCGAGCCTTCCAAATCATAGGATCAAATTGAAGGTTGGTACCCCCATCATGCTAATGAGAAATTTGGATCACACTGATGGATTGTGCAATGGAACAAGATTAATTGTTACAAGGTTAGCAAATCACGTCATTGAGGCAAAAATTATGTCCGAAAAAAATATAGGTAACATTTTTTATATTCCTCGAATGTCCATGTCACCTTCCGAGTCACCGTGGTCATTCAAGTTGATTATGAGACAATTTCCAATGATTGTCTCATATGCAATGACAATTAATAAATCCCAAGGTCAATCGCTTGATAATGTCGGATTATATTTGCATACACCTATTTTTAGTCATGGGCAATTATATGTTGCAATTTCGAAGATTACAATTAAAAGTGGTCTTAAAATCTTAATACATGATAAGCATAATGTACCGTGTTCGACCACTACGAATGTTGTATACAAAGAAGTCTTCCAAGCACTTTGTTAGTTCGTAATCTTTTTCACTTTATCCTTTGTGATACAAATTAAATCTCAATGTTTAATTTATGTGTTTATATTCCACATATTTACATTAGTTTTTAAAAAAATATCTAATATTAAATGTCTTATTTGATATATTTTCCCATGCATGTGTATGATGTGAGTCGTTGTTGTTGATTGGTTCATTCATTGACAAGTTCAACTATGAATTTTTTAATATTAAAAAGTTTAAATTTAGACTTATAATGCTTTAAATTTAAATATTATTTTTACAAGTCATGTTAGTTTGATATATAATTTAATATTACGTTCAAAATTAATTATATTTTAATTATTTTTTATTAATTTAATTTTGACATAAGATAAAACTTTATAAATCAATATTAAATCATGCTATATAAAAACTATACGAAACCCGTGTGATAACACGAATTATCCACTGATTTATTATATAGTGAAATACATTAAACTCTTGAGGAGTTAATGGAAGAATAAAAGCCACGTGTCAACAGAAAAAGAAAAGACGCGCAAAGAGCCGTTGAGGAAATCCAAAGTGAATAGAATCATAATATGTTGCCGGCCCCTGCCTGCTCACTTTCTCCAACGTTTAGATCCTTCATCAACGGTCATTAAAATCTTCACCGAAAAAGACGCTCACGCAACTAAAACTCACCAGTTTTTTTATACTCATTTCATCAGATAAAAAATTATATTATTCAAGTCAATCTCAACACTAATTAATTTGGTTTGAAACTTCAAAAACAAATGATTAATAAAGTAACTAAAGTAATTTACCGTTATTTAAATCATATTCGCTCAAACTGATGTATATATAGACCACCTATATTAAGACGGAAGAAATATATCCTCCAAATGTATTTATAAATAATAAAAAAGTTTTTTAGGTTTTTTAAATGAATAATAAATCAATTATTTAAAAATTTAAAAAGCTTTTTATTATTTATAAGATTATATATAAGAGTGTAGAAAAAATTATTCAATAGTTAAATAGATACAATTGAGTGTTGAATAAAATATTAAAAATAAAATAGATTAATATGTGTCGAAAATATTCAACATGTTGAATAAAAACTGAGTGAGTCATATATAACATTTTACAAAATCTTATTAATTATTGTGATTGTTTAGATTTTTAATTCATCTTAATTATTTAAAATTAATTATTTTATAATAAATTATTTTTTTATTATTTTATTGTCACTAAAATTCATCATTTTTTGTCTATAAATAAAATTTAGTTTTTTTATTTGGAGAGGCAAAAAAATCAACTTTTTTATATTTTTTTTATTTAATCTCCAATAAAATCTTGTTTTATCTATTTTTATTTATTTTAATAATGACTATTCTTGTAAAAGTAGAAAAGTTTCAAATAAATTAAAAATATAAAATTAACAAAAATTCAAAATAAACTATTACACCTCCATCTCACAATAAGTGACCAAATAAAATAAAATAGTGTCTTCAAATAAATGATTCATTTCAATTTTTAATATATTTTTTTCAATTTTATCTTCTAATTAATTAAATTTTTATTATTTTCAATACATGATTAGAGTATTATAGTAAAAATATTATTCTCTCTCTTATTTTTTTATATTTTTATTAATATGTGTGAAATAGTAGACTCGGTCATTCATTGTAGAACGGATGAAGTAAATTAGAAAAAATTAAAATAAGTTATTTAACTTTTAATTATTTTAATTTTATTTCAATCGATAATTAATATTAATATAAAATCATAAAAACAAAAATATAAAAATAATAGAATAGAATATTAAATTTTGTTAAATAAAATCATTATAATGAATAAAAATTGAATCACTATTGAATTATTAAGTAGAAGAAATAAAAAAAAATTAAATATAAAAAATGAAAAAGAAATATATTGAATATATAAACCACTGTATACTCTAAATGTGTCTCGAGAGTGGAGGGTGTAGTAATCAAGAATTAGTCTTGCCATTAACAATAACTAGCGTGGAATAAAGTTGTACTAAAAATTAGAGTAGACCCCTTCAGAGTTCAGAGAAGAGAAGGTCAGGATAAAGAGTCTTGGAGAGAGTTCTTTCATGTCTTTTACTCTAAGGTACAAGTGTGGCACACGTTATTTGTGGACCGAGACTTCTTTTTGACAAAAAAAAATTGATAAGTTAATTTATAGTTGATCAACTTACCGTTTATATTAAGGGATAAGTTATCGATTAAATTTGAAGTGTTTGAGTTCGTTTAAACTAGCTCGTTCAACCTTGTCAGAGATAGCCTGGGTAAGTATACATTACATTTGTTAGTTAAACCATCAATACAATACACCGATATTGGTGTGACAAATAATAAATGTGAATCTTTTAACTTGTTAAATCCTTGGTGATACTTAAGTTTCATTTTTCAAATTTGATTATCACTTTACTTATTTACTTAAAAAAAAATATCTTCAAATCTTTTTCTCATATAATTAATAAAATATATATTTATTAAAATTAACTCAATTAATTTCTATAACAACGCACATCATGATGGAGACATTTTTAAAGGGAAGTAGTACTTGAGAGAAGTAAACAAGGCAAACAAATACAACCAACCGAATTGAAGTGACACACGAGGCAAATTTAAACAAATACCTTCGACCAAATAATTCAATGAAAACGCGCTTTTGTACAACCAAGTCATAATGATTAATAATGTTTCACTAATTAGTCTTAAAAAACTGAACAACCACAACACAAATACGCGTGAAAATTTTAAGAACCCCACCACCTCAATCTTAAAAGCACTTGTCACTACTTTCATTTCTCCAAACTTTCCTTTTATATTCAACAAAAAACCAACAGAAAAAACATCACTCTTTAGTTTCCTTGTTTCAAATGCCAACTATCTTGCTTAGGATTTTCCTTCTATACAACGTTGTCAATTCTTTTCTCATTTCTCTTGTACCTAAGAAACTTGTAACCTTCTTCCCATTTTCTTGGTTCTCCTATCAAACCTTAACAAATCTCACCCAAAACAACAATAACACTACTACTACACTTTCATCTTCCATAAGAGGTCTTGTTATTACTGAGACAAGAACAATGGATCCAACCGAACTCAAGCGTGTTTTCCAAATGTTTGACCGTAATGATGATGGTCGGATAACAAAGAAAGAGTTGAACGATTCGTTGGAGAATTTAGGAATTTTCATTCCTGACGTAGAGCTGAGTCAAATGATCGAGAAGATTGATGTGAACCGAGACGGGTGTGTGGATATTGAGGAGTTTAGAGAGCTGTACGAGTCGATTATGGATGAGCGTGTTGAAGAGGAGGAGGAGGATATGAGGGAAGCGTTCAATGTGTTTGATCAAAATGGTGATGGGTTTATTAGTGTTGATGAGTTGAGATCTGTTTTGGTGTCGTTGGGATTGAAACAGGGAAGAACTGTGGAAGATTGTAAGAAGATGATAGGGAAGGTTGATGTTGATGGAGATGGGTTGGTTGATTATAAGGAGTTTAAGCATATGATGAAGGGTGGTGGTTTTTCTGCTCTCAGTTAGTTGTGTTGGGTTTTGGTCTTTTCAATGTTGAATTTCAGTTATCTCTTTGTAAATAATAAGTACCGTAGTATGATTCAGGTTCATGTCGTGACTCGTGATCGATGTGTTCTGTAATAGGCATGTTTTTTGGCTTCTGTTTTTGTTATCTTAATTTGTTTATTTTTCCTATCCTAGTTGTTTGGGTGGTTAGTATGGAAAAGCATTTGATGTTGTGGGCTAGATGTTATTGCAGTCAATGATCTCAACTGTTGATAAAAATTGAACACTACTATCGATTCGACGACACGACTCCTTGAATTTGAATCTCTATCCAACAACTTAGATTGGCTCAGTACAGTGAATCTGAGTCGACTTAGATTAACACTAGGCTTGATATGAATGTGTTCGGTTCGGTCCAGGTACTATTAATGTATTTTTTGGAGGAAGAGGAGGAAGGTGATTGCAATGAAGGACACACACTACCACTGTGACAAGAAGTGTCTGTGTTTTCTTTCTTTTTTTTCCTTGGTTTTGATTCTGTTTTCAATTTGTAATGTAAACTTCTGTTTTAAGATATATTTCTTGAAATGTTTATCTACTCTTTCTATTGGATTTATTTATTTTGTAACAGTATCAACTAGGAAACGGTAAATTTTCGTTATATTGGTAATAAATCAAAATGTGCAGCTGGGAAAATTTGATTCCAATTAATGTAAGAATACAATAGCTAAGGTACTCTCATATGAGAATCACTTTTCAACAAGATCATGTTAAAACTAGCACCTAATCGCCAACGTGATACACACCGAGACAATGAGTTTCTTGGTAAACTATATGCTGCATGAAGTTTTTAATATGACCACAACACAACTTCAAGCCAAATGTTGATAAAATTATATCCAAAAACTTCAAATTGAGAATGTGCTATAATGGCATCATTTACTTGCCTTTTGAATCTGATCTTTCTTCCTCAATCTCTCTTATATTTCGGACTACATCAGCAACTTTTTTAGAGATGTGTTCTGTGTGCTTTTCCAAATCGTTCAGAATCATATTTAACTGTTCTTCATACGCTGCACGACGTCGTTTGTACTTCTGCCTTTCGTTGTACAACTCAAGCGATAGCTCACGGATTCTCTTATCTTTCTCATCCTGTGACACAAATCAACAACACAAGTTTGAGGTAGAAAAATGGAACAAACATAACATAGACATTAGATCCTAACAACCAACGTAACTATACATGAATCAAAATGTCCTAATCCAACATCTGCAGGTAATAAATTGAGATGGAGACATGCATACCTCACTAACCAAGTGCTTCTCAGATCTCCGCCGTGGAACTTCACTAGGACTCATCAGTTTATGTGTATGCTCCTTCACAACTTTGGTGATAACCCACTTCCCTTCATCCCGTAAAGCCAGCCTTATCATGGCTTGACAACCTTCTCGGGTGGCTGGTGGAGGAGGGAGCACTCTATCTTTTCTGTGCACATACTTCTTTGCACGAAAGCCTTCTTTTGAGCAAACAAAATCTTGACTAATAATCTGGTTATTTACTCGTGAACGTCGGTTATGGTGTACTCGTACTGTAAATCCCATCCGCCTACCATAGGCATTGTAGAATTCTCTGGCTTCCTCCCTTGAGTTGAACTGCATGTCTATGAATGGTTCTAATGTGTCTGAATCTGGTACAGGTTGTTCGACAAAATTTTCAGCTTCACCTGCACATAACTCTAAATTGTTTGAAAACTCATCTTTTACGCTCTCATGTTTCTCATTGATTTCTTCTATCGCGTCAAGGTGGCTACCATCTGAAACAAACCCCTGGCCAGATTGGTGATCCAACATCCTATTATAGCAAAAAGATATCCACAGCGTCCTTAATGGTTCCCATAATAAACAAACATTAGTAAATAATGTTGAACCAAAAAAGAATATATATACAACGAAATCTAATATGTCCAAGATAATACCATCTGAAACACGAATCACCAAATGTTTTTTGATTAGGAATGAGGAGATTAAGGGTCTAATTGATTGAGTAGTATAGCCCAATAACAAGTATTTCAAGTCCGTCGAGCGACCCTCCCACCCCAAACTCACCTATTTAGCATACGAACCAGATTTAAGCATGTTCTAATTAACACAGCACGTAGATGAAAGAACCTGCAACGCAACTTAAATTTACTTACATCTATAAATGTTCCATTCCATGGCTCCTATCAATTCATTTCATAAAGTTGGAATAGCAAAGAGTGTTTCAAGAAATTGAACAGAAAAAAAAAAGAATAAACAATTGCATTGGTGAAATTGAATGAGGTAGCAGAAAAATGGGAGGGGAAAGAGAAAGTTGATGAAGTATTTGTTATTGCTTACCAAGACGATGAGGTGTAGAAGCTCCGGCGAGGAATTATGGAGGTGGAAGGTGAAATTAGGGGGTACAAAGATGAAGGAAATAAGGGAAGGGTTACTCGGAATGAGTAGAGTGAAGATGGAAATGGAAGTGATCAGGGCAAAATACTTACATCAATAATATATCTTTTTAATATATAAGAATATTTAGATCAATTTTTTTTAAATCATAAATATTTAAATTATAAATATCATTTTTTATATATATAAATATTTAGATTAATAATAATTTTTTTTCTATGTGTAAATATTATTTTTTAGATATTATTTATAAAAATATTTAGAGGAATAGTAAAATTTTGTATATAAAATTATTTAGATTAATAATTTTTTCTGTATATCATTTTTAAATCCAAAAAATTTGGATCATAAATAGTATTTTTTGTATATAAAAATATTTAGATATATAATCGATTTTTTTCGTATATAAATATTATTTTTGTTTAGATATCGTTTACAAAAATATTTGGATCAATAATAAAATTTGGTATATAAAAATATTTAGATTAATAATAGATTTTTCCAGTTTACTATTTTTAAATAAAAAATATTTAGACCATAAATACTATTTTTCATATATAAAAATATTTAGATCAATAATAAAAAATTTCTCGTATACAAATATTATTTTTATTTAAGTATCATTTATAAAAATATATAGATTAATAATAAATTTTTATATATAAAAATATTTAAATTAATAATATATATATTTTCGTATACTATTTTTTAAGAAAAAAATTAAATCATAAATATCATTTTTCGTATATCTTAAATGAAACCTATTGATTATATAGAAAAATAAAGGATATTTCAAGTTTCAAATAAACTATAAAGTAATAGTATAATATGATGTAGAGGTGAAATTAAATTTGAAGTTCATGTGATAGGGGAGTTAGTAGGTTGAGATATCAAACTCATATAATAAATAGAAATTATGACTTGAAGTATGATCTTGAATTATAAAAGTAGCAAGGAAAAATAAGATGTAGTAGTTAACTTTTAAGATGCAGCAGTCTACTTTTTAAGATGTAGCATGAAAAATATAATTATAAAAATGAATGAAAAGTTATGTAGCAGTCTACGGTCTATAGCATACTGACATTACATAAATAGAAAAGTGAGTTTGTTACCATTAGGTTTGTTTTCAAATCCAAAGGAGATGTTTAGATTAAACAATATTAAAGTATTGTGCAGTCAGTTAACAAAAGTGGCTATTGGCATTCAAATCTAACCAGCCTTACATTTTGGTTGGAAAATAGTTTAATTAGGCAAAACTGCCCTTAAATGAATGATGTGGCATCAAATGAAGATACGGTAAAAAAGTGATTTCTAAATTAATAAACATTTTTATATGAGAATTTCTATTTATATTTATATTTAATAGTGGTGATTTTTATCATTGAAATTCGAAAATATCTTTCGAATATGTATATTCGAGCGCACCTCTCATTATATTTCGAATGTGCATATCCGAAGACATTTTTTTTCACGTTTTAATATTTAAATATTGGGTTTTAAATATTTAAGGTGGTTTCAGATATGCACATCCGAAACATTTTGAAAGATGAGTTCGGATGTGTATATCAGAAACTTCTCTTTCTATATTAGAATGTTGCATGGTCACTTCATTCCAACTATTTCATTCATTTTCTTTTCCTCCATAACCAAAACCTTCAACAAAACTTCAATCATTCTCAATGGAATTTTCGTCTTCATATCAAGTTTCAAGTGTTTGAGTATAGCAAAAAGAGCATAGAAAGCTGCAATTTGAGGTGAACTTCCATTATTTTATCATACATTTTCTGCATTGAAGTTGTTTTATTGAAGAAGAAAACACCATCGCTTTGAATATGCATTTTTGAATTCAACCTGCCATAATTCAGAAGTGCATATTCGAAAATATGTCAGTTACAAAATCAGAATTCTATTTTAACATCATTTATGTTTTTTTGGACATGTTAGGTATGGCGCACTCCGATAATATTGTCAAAGCTATCGTAAAGGTTTCGGACAAGGTCAATGAAGATGATAAGCTGAATGAGATGAAGGGCGTTGATAAAACGATTGATACTGTGATAAATCATGGACAAGAATTTCTAAATGATAAAAGTTTCACCTCTCGTCAACATATGCTTGAATGAGTTCGAATGGAAGCTAGCAAACTTAGGTTTAGCATTGAGATTGAAAGGTCCAACAATGGGACTAGTAATAGACAACCATTTGTTGTGATGGCATGCGAGATGAGTGGAAAATATGTTCCAAAACTTCGCAAGATAAAACAAGATGACACAAGATCGAGGAAATGTGAGTGTCTGTTTAAATTGCGCGGTTATTGTAGGGTGGATCATTTATGGTGGTTTAATGTCATGTCTGGTATGTATAATCATGCATTGGACACCAAACTACAAGGGCATCAAATTGTATGTCGGCTTAAGAGTTTAGAGAAGAAATTTATTTCCGAATTATCGTTGATCAAAGTTGCACCGAGAAACATACTTTCCAGATTGAAACGAAATAAACCAGATTGTGTTTGAAATATCAAGTCGGTTTATAATTATCGTTATAAACAACACATTGCACAAAGAGGTCTGAGGTCCGAAATGCAATATTTATTGAAATGTTTGGACGATAACCACTACGTTTCCTGGTATAGAGTTTGTGAGGACAACGTAAGTATTCGTAACATATTTTTGACTCATCCAGAAAGTATCAATTTGTTCAACATATTTCCAACTGTTCTTATGATTGATTATATGTACAAGACCAATAAGTATATATGCTTCCACTTCTAAAAATTGTTGGTGTCACCTCTACGGATAAGACATTTTTAGTTGGATTTGGTTTTTTAGAATGTGAGAAAGAATACAACGTCACTTGGGCGTTGGGTATATGCAAGACTTTGTTGAAGGATCCAAAAAATATGCCTAAGGTCATTGTTACCGACTGAGATAATATCTTTATGAATGCAGTTGGCAATGTGTTTCCTTCGTCAACCGTAATACTTAGTCAGTATCATATAACAAAAAATGTGAGAGCACGGCTCAAACCCGCAGTTGGCACCAAAGAAAAGAAGGGTGGAGACAAAAACATGGTCAAATCCGATGTTGTGGTTGAGAAGATAATGGGTGCATGGACTAATATTCTTAATTCTACTACATGAGAGTTATATATTGAAAATGTGGTATATTTCAGGAACTTGTGTGTGAATATCCCAATTTCTTGAAATACGTTGAGTCTACTATCCTTGATCAGGTGAAAGAGAAAGTTGTATGTGCTTGGACGGGCCGTGTTAGACATTTGGGGAACACAACAACTAATAGAGTGGAATCTGCACATGTGACGTTGAAGAAGTGGTTGAGTGATAATAAGGGAGACCTTTGTAGAGAATGACACACGGTGAACCAAATTCTCCAAAATCAACATAATGAAATTCAAACAATATTTGGTAGGAGAAAAATCGTATTAAAACACTGATTCAAAGTCAACACTCTTTATTTGCAGTTGATTCACAATATATTTCGGCAGGGCCGGTCCTGACTTTTAGAGACCCAAGACTAACAATAAAAATAGATCCCTAATAAAATGTTAAACAACTAACCTTAAATATATATATATATATATATATATATATATATATATATATATATATATATATATATATATATATATATATATATATATATATATATATATATATATATATATATATATATATATATATATATATATATATATATATATATATATATATATATATATATATATTATAAAATAATATTAATTTTGCTAAAATTTTGATATTATTATAGAATAAAATTTATATATATATATATATATATATTAAATAATCCAGATTTGCCTGGTGGGAGGGAAGCATCTAATGTTGTCGATGGCACGGTTTCGATTCTCTTTGTTTCGTTTGTTTTTTACTTTTGAAAAAAACTAAAAATATTACATGAAAGTATCCAAACCATGCTGCCTGATTGTAAAATCATGATGCGCTTCCGCTAGGCCAACGATACATGAACGTTTATAGTTTTCAACCAATTATATATATAAATATATTTAGTCGTGTTAATTTACAAAGCCCACCATCCAAATTTTAAGACCCTAATATTTTTGAGGTCTTGGGCTATGGGCCTGCTTGCTCTAGCCCAAGGTCGGTCTTGTATTTCGAGTGGGATGGAATTTCATTTTTTATGAAGCGAAACAAGAGAAAATGACGGGGCCAGATAGCTTTAAATGTGGATGTACAATAAGGACGACTTACGGGCATCCAAGTGCTTGTGTTATTTCTAAAAAATGAAGTTTAATTCTCTCATATGTATGTGGGATACGGTGGGAGAACTGACTTGGTTGTTTTGCATTTATCACAAATGTTGCAGTTAGCAAGAGTCGTCACCGACTTTTCTTTTATCCAAAAGGAAAGGCTGAAAAGAACAAGAAAGACCTTTGAGATTATTTCTTGAGTTCGGGCGGTAGATTATGAAAAGGGAAGGTGTTAGAACCCTTTTCATCCATAATTATCTATGGGCTCTTAGTTGCTTGCTAGATCACTTGCTTTTTGTTTGAAAATGTATTTTGTGTGGTTTTTGAAAGTATTTTGAAAAAGCGCCATCGTTTAGGCAAACTTTGTAATAGTTCTCGTTCGTAAGAGCGTATACAAAGTGTTGGGCTTTTGAAAATATTTCATGTTTGGAAAATGTTTTGAAAGTGTTTTTGAAAGTGTTTGGTGTTTGTTTTGAAAATAAGCAAAGATGTTTGTTTTGAAAATGAGCAAGGATGTTTGTTTTGAAAATGAGCAAGCAACTAGGAACAATTTACCTACTCAAAAGTCTTTGTTCATTTCTTCCTTTCCTTTAATATTGTTATCTTACCATTGATTGGTAAGAAGCCTTATCTTTGGATGTAAAGGGACGTGCATGGATCATCGTATAGCAATGATAGCAATGTTGTGAGATATCTTATCATTTCTCTTTGAGGGACTAAGATCATTTTTGAAAGGCAACATTTGATAGTGTCATCGAGAGACTATGATCTTGTATTTTTGATTGCTTTTTGCTAAGATATCTCACATGCATAACATGGCCATTTTTGTAAGGCAATAAAGTGGAATTACCCTAAGGGTGCAAGTGTGTTTGATTTATATGCATTGTTTATCTTTGAATTAGGGTTTGCTACTTGTTGATTTTAATCTTTTCATACAAATCCTAATTTACTAGCATTTATATAAAGCGATAAATTGCGGAAAGTAAAAATACTAAGCTATTACATCATTAGGGGAGGGGGTATATAAATTTAGAAATGGGGATTTTACAAGAAAATTAAATCTAATTATCTATTACAACCATATTGAATAATGTACAAGAATTGAAAATAAATATACAAAAAGATAAATGGAAAAGAAATGATTTTTGTTTGATTTTTTATGAAAGGGGTTTTAACCTAATTACTAAAAGAAAAAAATAATTGATTAAAAAAAATTAAACCTAAATTTAGTAAGAAAAGAAAATAGATTAAAAAGTATTTTTTTTAGGGTTTTTGTGAAAAGGTTTTAAATTAATGAAAATAAAATATGAAAATTAATTAAAAAGAAACCTAAATTCTAAGTTAATTTTAATTTAAAAGAAAATAATATAATAATTAAACCTAAGTCTAAATATTAATTATTTAAGAAAAAGAAATTAATTTGTTTAAGAAAATATTTTTTATCTTTTCTGTTTTATAAAGAAAAGAAAATATATAAGTATAAATAATAAATAAAAATATTTTTATATTTTTATTAACAAAAATAATAATAATAATAATAATAATAATAATAATAATAATAATAATAATAATAATAATATAATAAAGAGAAAAAAAAAAGAAATAAAATAAAATAAAAATAAAAAATTGGGTCACGTGTGCAATAGTAAGGCAGGGGGTTAGAAAAAGTAAAAAATGAAAGACCCAAAGGGGGAGGCCCAGCGCTGGCTGTAACAAAAAAGAGAGAAAATGTGAAAAATAAGGAAAAAAAGGTAGCGCTGGGTATTGAACCCATGATCTCCGATACACACACGCGCTACCTTTGCCACTGGGATGGCTGTACATCCGGTAACATAAACAAAATAAATAATACATAACACAAGTC